CGTGGTAGGGCGTATGATATATCCATTCCATGCCATGTTCTCTGGCCCAGGTATTGAAAAGGCCGTTCTTGAAATGGGTCCCATTGTCAGACTCAATTCTCTCAGGGGGTATTGCCGTTCTCCTTCACCTTCACCCCTTCTCTGCTCCTGCTTCCTGCTGCCGCTCCGCCTCTTCCTCCCTCCCTCCTCCTCCTCCCCCGTTCCGAGCCCCGAACTGGAAGGGGATGGGGCAAGGAAAGGGCGGGAACTGTGAGGGGAAAGGGGCGGTGCCAAGGAAAGGGTGGGAACTGTGAGGGGAATAATCGCCAGTCCTGAAGGGGCGTGTTTTAGCCTCAAATCACAAAAAAAAGCCTCAAATGCAGCCTAAATCTACCAGGTTTGGCCTAAAATCAGTCATGGGGGCCTGAAATCCACACAATGGGCTCTAAAATTACCAAAATAGGCCTAATTTTCACTAAAAGGGGCCTAAAATCCACCTTTAAACCGATCAGGGTTGGCCTAAAAACAGCCAAAAACCTTAAAATCTACTCTATATCCTCATGGTTTTGCCTGAAGTCAGCGAAATGGGGTTAAAATCGAACCAAAGGGTCTAAATTTGCCCAAACTAGTTTAAAATCCACAGGAAATGGTCCAAAATCACTCTTCAATCTCCCAAATGTGTGTAAAATGTACCTTAAAATTGCCTGGTTTTTCCTAAAATCACCAAAATGGGCCTAAAATCCATCCTAGAACCCACCTGGTTTTGCCTAAAATCACCCAAAGGAGGCTAAACACACCTAAACTGGCCTGAAACTCACCCAAGGGGACCCAAAATCACCTTAAAATTAGACCCCTGGGTCTCTTAGGCTTCATGCCAGCTGTTCAGTGTCCTATTTAGGCACCCAAAATTCCCCCTGCAAGTTCCCACATTTGGACCTAAAATTCACAAATATTCCCTATGGAGATTCCAAAAATTTCCCATAGAGATCCCAAAGCTCCAGTGTTTGGACCCAAGTTTATCTACAGGGAACCCTAAATTCCCAAAAGATTCCTACGGGATCCTCTAAATTCCATTTGAGGACCGCAAAATTTCAAAAATTCCCAATAGAGACCTAAAAATTCCCATGTTTGGACCCAAAATTAAAAAAACCTCCCGGTGGAGACCCCACAGTTCTCACAATTCTCAATATAGGCCCAAAAATTCCCAACAGACACTACAAAATTCCCTTTAATCACCCCAACGTTTCCTTATGGGGAGCCCAAAGTTCCCAAGAGACCGACATATTTCCTTTAAGGACCCCAAAATTCCCAAAAATTCTCAATAGGAGCCACAGAATTCCCTACAGGAACCCCAGTAATTCCCTGGACAGAGCACAAAATTCCCCTATAGAGACCCTGAAACCCCCCTGGACCCTACAGATCCCCTATAGACCTCCCAGACCCCTTTTAGGAACCTCCCAGAGTCCCCCAAATCCCCTATAGACAAACACAAATCCCTATACAGATCCCCAGTTCCCTACAGATCCCCTATAGACCTCCCAGACCCCATTTAGGGATGCCCCAGAGCTCCTCAAATCCCCTACAGACAAGCCCAAATCCCCTATAAAGTCCCCCAGAATACCCCCAGGGCTGTAAAACCTTCACCAGCAGTCTATAGATGCCGTATAGATCTATCAATCATCCATAAGGGACCCCCCAGAAACCCCAAGTCCTCTATTAGCAAGCCCAAATCCTCTATAGAAATCCTCAGACCCCCCCTCAGTCCCCAATAGATCCCCTATAGATCCCCCCAGCCCCACCGTAGCTCTCGGACATGCTGAAGCCGGGCAGGCAGACAGGGAGCAAAGATGGCGGCGCCCGGAAGGCACCTCCGAGTGTTCTGAGCATGCGCGAGAGGAACGCGCCCTGAGATGGGCGGGGCTTGGAGGGGAAAGGGGCGTGGTGAACACAGGGGCTTGGTCGGAAAGAAAGGGGCGGGGCTAAATATAGACAGGAGCTGTGAATAGAAAGGGGTGGGGACAAGAAAAGGGCAGGAACTGTGAGGGGAAAGGGGTGGGGTCAAGGAATGGGAGGGAATTGTGAGGGGAAAGGAGCGGGGCCAAAGACCCGCATGGTCCTGAAAGGCCTGGTTTGACCTAAAATCACCCAGAAAAGGGCCTCAAATCCAGCTTAAATTCACCAGATGTGGCTAAAATAAGCCAATGCGGCCTCAACTCCACACAAAGGGAGTCTAAAACCATACTAAATAAAACTAAAATCCAGCCTAAATGTTCCTGCCCTTGAAGGCAAAGCTCTTCAGAAGGGGCCAAAAGCCAAGTGCAGCAAGATCTTACAGGGACATTTCACTGCCAGCCTTCCTAACTTCACCCATGGCTGTTGGAGCTCCTGCACTGGGAATTAAATCAGGGGAAGGTCTTTGGTGGGAGCTGACCTGGTTCAAGAGACACCCTGAGACAGAAACAGAGCAGGCAGAGAGAGACAGGAGAGAAAGGAGGACACAAACACAATCAGCTGAGAAGGTGCCACTAAAAACAGAACAGGAACTGACTGAAAGGGAATGGGACAGAAATCAGGAATTGTGAAACTTTTTTTTACTATCAAATCCATCCCAGCCAGCCAGCCCCACACAATCTTGATCCCACTGCTCCAAATTTGGATCCCATTTCTCCCAATCTCCTTCCAACCCCTTCTCACCCTGGCAGCTGCGGAATCCAGTAAGGTTCCTGGGGGATTGATTTGTTTTGAGGATCCACTTTGCAGTTGGATTGAGCCCTTTTGGATTAAATTGAGGTGCTTTCAGCGGGATTTGAGAAGTTTTGAGGTGACAAATTGATCTTTTTCAGCTTTTGGAGTGAAAAGAGATAGAGAACACATAAAAATGCAGGCCAAAACAAAAGGATAACCAGCCAGGTGTCTTCCCCAGATGGATCCCAGAGAATGTGGGTCACCAGGGCTCTGCCTACTGTGGCTCCTCCATTGGGGGATGGAGCTGGAGCAGGGCACAAAGCTCCTCCTGCACTCGGGGCGCTAGCAGGGCTTCCCTTAGTGGTGCTTCTGTTGGTGTTTGAACAAGCCTGATCTCTGGGTGAAGCTCTTCCCACACTCCCCACACTTGTAGGGCCTCTCCCCAGTGTGGATGCGCCGGTGGGTGACAAGGGTGGATTTGTCCCTGAAGCCCTTCCCGCAGTCAGGACACTCGTGGGGCCTCTCCCCAGTGTGGATGCGCCGGTGGGTGATGAGCTGGGAGTTTTGCCTGAAGCCCTTCCCGCAGTCAAAGCACTGGAAAGGCCTCTCCTCCGTGTGTGTCTGGTAGTGCTGGTGGAGTTGTGAGCTGGAGGGAAACCTCTTCCCACACTTGGAACACTCGTAGGGCCTGTGCCCAGTGTGGATACTTTGGTGGCTGATCAGACCAGAACGCTGCCTGAAGTCCTTCCCACACTCCCCACACTTGTATGGCCTTTTCCCAGTGTGGATGTTCTGGTGGTCGATCAATTTGGCACGCTCAATGAAGCTCTTCCCACACTCCTCACACTTGTAGGGCCTCTCCCCAGTGTGGATCCTCTGGTGGCGGATCAGGGTGGCACTGTCCCTGAAGCTCTTCTCACATTCCTCACACTTGTGGGACTTTTCCCCAGTGTGGATGCGACGGTGGGTGATGAGGCTGGAGTTGTGCATGAAGCCCTTCCCGCAGTCAGGGCAGTGGAAGGGCCTCTGACCCTTGTGAATCTTCTGGTGCCGGAGGAGCTTGGAGCTGCTCGGAAACGTCTTCCCACACTCAGAACACTCACAGGGACTGTCCCCAGTGTGGATCTTTTGGTGCTGATGCATCTGGGAGGCGATTCTGAATCCCTTCCCACACTCAGAACACTCATAGGGCTTCTCCCCAGTGTGGATCGTCTGGTGCCGGAGCAATTCAGAGCTGAGTATGAATCCCTTCCCACACTCCCCACACTTGTAGGGGCGGTCTCCAGTGTGGATCATCTTGTGCCGGACCAGGCTAGCTCTGACGCTGAATCTCTTCCCACACTCCCCACACTTGTAGGGTCGTTCCCCAGTGTGGATCCTCTGGTGGTAGATCAGCTGGGAGCTGACTCTGAATCCCTTCCCACACTTCCCACATTCGTAGGGCCTCTCCCCAGTGTGGATCCTCTGGTGCTGGGTCAGGTGGGATCTCTGGCTGAATCTATCCCCACACTCGCCACACTCATAGGGCTTCTCCCCAGTGTGGATCCTCTGGTGATAGATCAGGAGGCACCTGAATCTGAAGCTCATCCCACACTCTGAGCACTTGTGGGGCTTCTTCCCATCACGAAGCTGCTCATGGACCACCAGCTCCGAGCTCTGGCTCCATCTCCGGATGCCCCCCCGGCCCAGGCTGGGGCTTTCCTCCTCAGATCCCCGCCATCTGCGTTTGCAGCCCCTCCTCGTGCGGGATCTCCGCGGCTTTTCCTCCCCGTTGCATTCCTGCGCCGTGGAGCCGCTCCAAACGGCCTCTTCCAC